TTATTGGTGTAAATTTTCCATGAACTCTACCCTCTACCATGCAATCCCGGAAACGCGACACCTCTTCTTCACTTAAACATTTACCCCTAGATGGCGCTGTACAAAGTTAAATCGCGATATAAAGTGCTTGAAGCATTTGTGGCTACCTACTAGCTACTACTGTGACGTACTGAAACTATTTTTAAATATCTAATACAAGTTAAGAGCTGTACAGAAACTATTTAAGTACCATCATTACAAAATAATTATACTTAACCTTAATGTAGATGTATTATTAGTTACTACTTAGCTACGGGTTATTCCAACCCTTAAAATTACATCCTGTGGCCGATATCGACAGTTATCATTACTGCTAACTGCCGCCAGGTGGCGCTGCAAACAGCCGCGTCACAATGGCGGGACGCCGGCGCAATGGCCTTGACAGCCCGAGTGTATTTACACCTGATTCGTTTATAGGTTTACAATACTTAATCACAGGTCTGCAGGTTAGTAGCCTCTACTTATGTGAAGGGATCAAGGTGAGATTATCGTAAATTCACAAGCGATTGGAAGCGTGCAGAGTCTAAGTAACGATCACAATTCAAGCGATTTCTTCCAGGCAACCTGAGAAGAGGACAAAATTGATTATCCAACCAAACTCTATCATAATCATAAGGCATAAGTTCATGCTAGTTTTTGCTATTACCATAGGTAGGTAATAATATTTTAATTACAGTAGGTTATTTTACTGTCATGACAACAAACGAAACAGCAGGATCATAATGTAATCTGGTAAGGTCCGGTATTTACACGAAAACGACCGCACCCGATGAGATTAACCTATAAAATAAACATCAACTTGATGGATGTAATTTACTTCAGAAGAACTTTTCTCGGTTACAATAGTTATTAAAAACAACTTGCCATTTCAACGGCACACGAATCCTCGCATTATTATAATTTGCAAATTACCTGCTCTCAAAGCATGCCACAGCAATAAATAAATAAATAAACCTTTATGTCTTTGACCTCGCTGCGCGGTAAACAAAATAAAGTGGACACGCGGGCGCAATTATTACAGAGCTAAGGTGCGCGAGCAGCTGACGGAGCACCTGCCGCCATCTTTAACATTTCTTTAAGTTTTTTTCGCCTGCCAAGTTATTGGCCTATTTTTTATGGCGCAAGCTGTGGAAACAGCTGACGGGGGCCTTTGTTAGCGAGCGTTGACTGGCGAGGCACAGGACCTCGAGGCGATTTCTAGGATAATAAGGACGTGCAGCTGCCGTCTTGGATCAAAGGTTCGGGGCCAGGTGTGGGCGCCACGTGTAGGGCCTATCAGTTTTTTGTGTTTATTCGGCGGTGTCCGCATCAAATGTGTTGCCCGACCGATGCTCTGATAAGCTCCCTACCTTTCCCCTAAAGCCTTTCGTATCCAACTTAAGAAACAGTTAAAAAAATACTTTGCTAGAAAGTTGAAAGCCAAGCAAAGACATACTACCTACTTACTTATGTGCCCGACCACAGGGACATCATTAATCAATCAAGTTACATACTTGCCTATAACTCTGTAAATAAGTTTGTAAATAAGTTAACTTACTATCTTAATTAGAATGCATTCCAGACAAGAAACTCCTTTCAAGCCTTTAAAGAACATAGCAATTTCATTTTTCTTAATGTTTTTAAAATTATATTCAAGTTCGACTGTAGCTATGTGTGGCATCTGCATCAAGGTAATAATTGTGCATACCGACATCATTTATGACGCGATGATGTAAGAAACACAATAATAGCACAAAGAGTCTCCGGTTCAATTCCTTGTTTGGACATTTTAATAAAAATTTAAAATATTTTGTAATAGTAATGTACTTAGTCTGTGCTAAGTCATCAGGTCTCAGCTTTTTAAAATGGGTTTAATGCCACCAACAACTAACTTCAATGTTGATTTTATTTAGGTACAGTCATAGATTAATTTTATTAATCTAAGGGTACAGCTTAGTCAAGTATCATAGTTCGTTTGGATGTCACGGATTATTTGACGCTGACTGTACTAGATAGATTACTTACACTTACCTACTAAGTAAAGTCTTGTCTTTTTAATTAAAAATGTTTCAATAGCCTTTCTTACGAAGTCATGTGACCAGAAAGAGCACGATTATTTTATGAAAGTTGCACTTACAGCAATGATTCTTGAAAGGTTGTACCTACCTAAGTGAGCCAGAGAATGGAAGGCACGGGCACACACCTCGCTATTCGCAAGGCAGGTGCCGGTGGGCCGTTCAACCAACCGCAGGTGGTCTTTGCATGTGTCGCTTTAAAAAATATAAAAAACTGGCAGGAATTTAGAGGCTGCCGTGGGAACCGTTGAGCCTACCCTTAGATGCCTCCTATTGCTTGCACGACTCTATCGAGTCATTTGTTTCCCAAATCAAATGATTAAAAACACGTTTTGTTTCCTAGTTTGATAATTTCAGGCTCTAAATCAGTTTGTAAACTCGCACGTCTCAAATTATAAGCTATCCTCTGAGTGAAGCCGAGACATTAGCGTATCTAGGGTTCATTTTCAGGGGGGACCCGTCTTTCATAACTCAATGTGTTTCATATTGGATTTGCTTCTCTTAGTACATAGACACCCAAAGGGCTCTGCGACAACTACGAGTCACCATATGACCTTTCATCATGGATTTTCTTTCTTCTTATGTCACTAATCGCTGAAAATAACTTTTTCGCTCAAAAATGTTTTTCTAATTTGTAAGATGGCCCTGCAAAGCCATTCCCTGATGTGATATGCTTAGATCACGGTCTCGACGAGGCTCGCCGGGGGCTATAATGTAGGTACCTGACGACGCCGCGGTGGCCGGCGCGTGTCTGCGCATCTGCGCCTGCGCCTAATTGACCGCGGCCCGTTCCACAGGGCCTCACTCTTAGCATTACCGCTTATTTTTTATAAACGATTTTTCGATAATTTAATGATATAGATTGAATGTAACTTTGGCCCAGAACAGACGGTGAAACGCAACTGCAACGAAACTGCAAACGCTAGTTACTTACTTTTGTGTTGCATCTAAGTTTCTGCCATAGCGTCCGTTGAGAGACCACACATGACGCGACCAGTTTGAAACTTTCACTTTCAGTTTCAGTTTCATTCATCAGAATCATCAGAAAGTTGCAGTTTCGTTGCAGTTGCGTTTCACCGTCTGTTCTGGGCCTTAGTCTTCGATTTCGGTTTGAGGTATTTCGTTATACATCTACTTGCTTATAAATATACCGCGATCACAAAATCGAATCCGTTACATGCTTTATCATCTAGCCAAAAGTCGAGGATATATGAATAAATGAATTGTAAGTTTGTGTATGAAATAAAATAAATGAGCCGTATCTTTCATAGCTTCATTTATTGTTATTCTTCACATAACTTTTAATTCAACTTTATCGTTACAATTTCAATAGTTCATTATACCTAGGCTTCGATAATAATAAATAAGTACCTTTCTAACATCCTTCCAACAAATTAGTACTAATGAGCGTATAAAGGTTGTACAAAAATATAACAACAATTTCTATTGATCTTTATGGAGTAAAACCTATTAAATTACGAATTCAAATTCACCTTAACATTTAAGAGATCATCAGTCTTATTTATAAATAGACCAAGTCAGTCTTAAAGATTAATAAATAATTTGAAATGCATAAAAAACGAAATAATTAAATCCTATTCCTACTCAGTTGGTCTCACGGTAAATGTTTCATTTATTATAATAATTTTCTTCGTTTATTACCTACGAGTGTTATTAGCCTGTAAAAGGTTCTGAACTGCAACATTTACACTTATTACTTGCACAAAAAGACATAGTAAACCTATGCCTGCGCCGACTCATGGCATTGGAACGCTGCGCGCGCGTCTATTTACTGCGGACACTCAAATTATCCTTCGCGCTATTTTCTTTCTGTGCAAAATAATACACATGCGTTATTATAATGACATGTGTTCGTGCAGTTGACTGACAACATACCTTTACCCCATGCACACTATTGCATGACAAATGGGTAACGCAAAATTTTGTAGAGCAAGCCTTTTGATACAGAAGTTCTTTTTTTTAACGAACAATTTGGTGATTTTGGGCACATAATTATCTGGTAATGGTAGACAGTTTCTTGCCCATATATCTACTACTAATACTAATTTGCTTACAAGTTTCAGGGACTATTGTCGCAGTTATAAATTCTTATTTTGACGCGGCGCGAAATTCTCTGCGCACAACCGCACATTCATTTCAATTTTATCAGAAACCTTAACTGTGCCAAAACTAATAAGGCTATCATCTGCTACCTAACAGTAAGCCTACCAAGACAAATTAGCAACAGTTGAATCTACCTAGCATATCAAGCAAGTTAAGAGGTCGCACTTTGCCATGGGTCAACGATTAATGCGAACGCGCGACGAAGTTTGCAGGACATAGCACAAAACCTTGGGGAATCGTATTATGGGTTATGTTGAAGCTCGGAGCGTGTCGAATCAGAAACTAATCTCGAAAAGCATTAACGTCCTATCTGTTTATATTATACATCCATAGCCATAAAAACCGTCAACGTCCTTTCTTTGTGTGAACTGATGATAGGCGATTTCTTTTTGGTATCCTTATTGTATTTGCGAAGAACTATAATGTATGTTATTATGTTTTTGTATCGGCACAAGACTCATCCAGAAACACGCTGTAATGCCTTTCTTGAACCAGTTAAAATTTTCGCGCAGATAGGTTACTTGTGCATTTTTACCCGAAAGTAAGGTACACAATTTCTACTCCTTTAAAAAACAGCGCAACAGACTCAGAGAAAGTAGGTACCTATCTACGTAGTCACTTCTCAAAAACTAAGGAACTTAACATCTAAAGTAAATAATAGGTATTATTTAAAGAAAACGTATTTTTTCCATACTTTTTTTAATGTCACCTAAAAAGACAGGCACAATATTGCACATAGGGTCTTTTTCACCACAACTGTTGTATGTAAATATTTATTTGGTACGTTAAATATCGATTATAAATATTGTACATAATAATTTTTCACTAACTTTTATTTACCTATCTATAGTTTATGGAATTGGCAAACCGTAGGCTTAGGCTTAGGTCCTGGTTTAATTTAATAATGTAAGAGTATGTAAGTATATTATCCCTATCCGTTATGTATTGTGCTTTTACATTTTATTTACAGAAAATCTTCAAATCGAACGGCACTTTTATTTGATCTAGACATTACATTACTTATACCTATCCATTACATTTTACCCGTTTTAATTGTATTGTTAAACACAAGAGAGATATAGTAGATCCAATTTCAGTGTCAGAAAAACGACACTGTCGTCCCTTTCTACTACAATAAGTCAAAATGAAATAGCTAGCTATTTGACATGGCAATGGACGAGACACTTGACCTTATTTAGTAGAAAGAAACAGTCGTACTTCTAGGAACGCCTCTCGCTCATTTTTCATTCCATGTTAATTATCTTTTAAACTAGGATATAGCTTTTTTCAGAAATGGGTAATAAATTCCAAAAAAGAGGACAATAATGTAATAATAATATGTCAAAATGGTGGAAAAAAGAGGAAATAAAGATAATAACAATAGAAAGTCGAAAACCAGGAATAAGGTGACCAAATAAGTGAAGTAAGTAATTTGACTTACCCCCAGCAAACGTTAGACTAAACTGTACCTACTATACCTTTCTAGTGTCACCACATAACTACCAAAACTACACTACATTCTAGCCCACTCTACAGATAAGGTACACACATCCAACATCAAATGAAAAGATTATGTCATAAAATATTTTTAATAAGTTCAACAGAAGTGAAAAAGACCCTATGAATAAATGAAATGTTATACATATTTATCTAGAGTAAAAAGTATATTCCTCTCACAAGCTTAACACAGGAATGTTCCTGTTTATACAGATTGTATATTAGATTGCAGGCAAAAATTTAGGTGATTGATCTTACAAAAATATTTTTAATATTTTTTTCTTTATGATCACTTTTTAATTAGAATTTATGATGCGTATTACAATAATATTATCAACTAAAAGTTTGCCCGCATTTGTACACACATCCCATATTTATAATATGTTGCTAACGAAACAAAATAATAAGATCACAATCTTTCACTCGGTTGCACAGAAAAAACATTATGCCGTAGCTACTGATAGCTAACTAGAGCAAACAAAATATGATACAAAATAAACGTGGCAAAATTTCAAACATTGCATTAGTGAAATTATTCAATCCCAATAGATTTATGTTTACAGTTGAGCAAATCAATTCTCACGAAGAAGTTACATTCATACACACCCCATGTCTACCCAATAATAATTTACTAGCCATACAATCCAACAAATTCTCCTAATCTAAGTTATGAAAGATTGACAGAAAAACTTTACAATTTGTTACTTGCCAAAGAAAAAACACGTCACGAATTCGCTTCACGAAATTAAAAACATTTATTGTAAAATTTGATGGAACCATTTTTTTATTGTAAAAAAATGTGTTTTAGATTCAGATTAGACAAATAAACACTATACTACCACGCAGGTAGGCTGTACAATGGCTGGCAAGTGGCAACACTATCTACATTTTTTTCTTTGGCAAACGTAACGTCCAAGCTACGCCTATGACTGGCCCAACCGCACGGCGTCATTCCTTTGATTAAAAAAATAGCTTATCGGAGCAATCTGGATAAAACGTGGTCGACGTAACGACTTAGGAACTTCTAATGTATGTAATTATTTCCCTTAATCAGCGATATATTTACACAGAAACTATTATGGGGATACTGCGAAAAACAATTTCGAATTTTCGATACATCGTATCATTTCATCTCCCTCTCTCGTTTAGTTTCAATCGCGGATGAGAGAGACAGGCAATAGGAATCGCCAAATCTCAAGATTTCATTCTAGTCCGTGTTGTTAAATATTGAAACCAATTTGACAGGTTTGAATTTGAATCGAATTACGACCTCTCTTATCTCCGAGCTTACTTTATTCAAATTATTTTGCGTAGTATCCCTTTGACATTGTATATTGTGGTCTGATAAATGCCAGCTATCCTAGTTTAACGATCGCTCGTGGTTCCACGGACCCTATCAATACGATTCGACTACAAGCATTGTGTACATCATTCAAACTATTGCTTTGCCGATGTTGGAATCGGCGACTTTCTACTAATCCCTATCTATCCATCACTTCTATAAAAAGCATGTGTAAAAGTCAATTAATTCAGAAATGGTCACATGAAAACATTGCAAGTTGGGTTGCTGCTCTGAGATAACTACCGTTAAGGCAAAAGGGTTCATTTAACTTTTTGTAAAGTTCAGATATCTAATGAAGAAATTTAAAAAATTAAGTGTATGCTTTGAACGTGTAACTTGACTTAGGATAGATGTGTTAAGAACTTATTAAACACAGTTGACCATTTCTGATATAACTGGCATCATGTCCATTATAAGTATACAGTTGCAACCTTAGTGATCTCCTGAAAGGTGTACCATGTACACGTAAAAAAATAACTATAAAATTGAAGTTTGTTATTAATTATTTATTACATTGGTGTTTTCACGCAATCTACTAACAATAATTTATAATCACTGGTACATTCTATTCGTTATAATACATATACATACCTAGTTTAAATGCGAAACGCGGGCCCCGGCTCTTAGGTGACAAGTAACGATGACTATGTAATTTTGTTTTTTATCTCTTACACACAAAACTTTTCACGTAACTTGTTTTGAAAAATTATAACTTCTATTTCCTCGCAAGTGCACTATGTATAATCCTATTGGAACATCATTGTATTGGAAGCACCATAGCCGCACACAATAAAAACTACAAGTAACGCTAAGAAAATTTTGATATTACGAAGATAAAAAAAACAAAATCACAGCCTAGAACAGTTTGCGCCGTGTGGTAGCTCAGATTTTATTCTTCAATCTAACATTATATCTTCGAAATAACATTTTACAGTAGGTATTTTATTATAGTACTAATAATTATTTTAAGCGATCAAGTGATACAATAATAAGTCTATTTTTAAGTCATATGAAAAATACAAAATATAATTTTATTTCATATTGTAATAAGTATTGGTTATACTACATCTAGCCAGCCCACTAAGTTTATAACATCAAAACACACTTATACTCGCACATTTGTCAAATAATAATAAATAATAAGAAATCTATTTACAATAGTAAGTATTTTTTTTATCATTACATAATGTATTTATTATATCGACTATATAGGGTGATATCGGCACAATGTTTCGAACCAAGCCTATGGGCATAACAAGTCAAAATTTCCATTGTTTTTGGACCTTAAGACAAGGGAATAAAGTTCAAAATATGGTGGAAACTATATTCCCACTGCCGTATAGTCTCAGTTATGTTTAGTTGTCCTAACACAAGGGAGCCGGGACCGATGTCTGGCACTTGCGCTGTAGTCTAGACGTCGCAGGGCGCTCCCCAAGCGAACTTATTGCCCCAAGCTACACGAACGGCTGAAAGCGGAACTAACACCAAACGTCTGGCATCAAATAAATTACATGAAACTAAACACTTATTCCCAGAACTACAACCGATTATAATGCTGTTGGAGTAATTGGGAAATTATTTCCCACCTTTACTACCAGAGATAAATCTGATTTTAAAGGTTGGAAAAAATACTTAGTCTAACTAATAGTTAAGGAAAGTTTATAATATACCTTTTTATGGATAGTTTAACGGAAAAAAATAAGAATTTATTTAGTTACAGGAAACTTATTCTTAGCCAACACTGATTAGTAGTTTTAATAGTAATAACTGGCAGTAATTCTAGGAATAGTAAGGCGGTTATCACACTGCGCCGCGGAGCGCGGGGCGACAGATTTAATCATAGTATGCAAGTACCTCAGTTTGTATGGAAAATACGCGCGGCACTTCACACTGACAACGCGTCCGCGCGCGTGATTTTTTATATGAAAATCACGCGCTCCGCGGCGCAGTGTGATAACCGCCTAATAAATGGAGGACGATAAGTGTTAATTTGACTTTCAGCCGTCTTCGTTATGACGTCGCACTGCTCTGTACACGGCGACGCGAGACCTATATTACTATTATTTACAACATTTACACTAGAGGTCGCGATTGGACAAACGACAGCGTATTCCTCGAGTTGAATTACCAACATTCTTTACCGAGTGCTTATTTATGCGGTTATTACGTATCAATTTTGATTTTAAGAATTCTAAAAGTGCTACTAAATCATGTAAACATCAATTATTAGGTCGGTGAAATTACAATAATAATTGTATTATCATAGCAAAAACTTTCTGTCATATTACTACACACACAAAGATTAATTTAATTTATTGCAATCAAGATGGTGGTCCCTTAAATTGAGAAATAGTATAACAGCAGCAATTTATAATCCGGTTGCCAATCACTTAAGACGATATTTAATTTAAAATCCACGCATGGACAACGAAATAAATATTTTGTTTTAAGATATTAACTTTCAAGTTTCGACGCAGCACCAAATTTAAAAAAACTTCAAATGTACTCACGAAGTAATACGATTTCCTCGCGTGTCGTTCATAGCCGACTCGTACTGTGAACTACCGCTAAACTATACTGTTTCCAGGGTTTGACTGACTACAATGCATTAATTTTGTACTCATAGACATATTTTTCCAATGGCACTTTAGAGATAAAAAGAAGAACTTTATATCACTCGACAAATAAACATTGAGTATCATAAATACCTTGGATAGATGTTTAGCGTGTAAAATACCCCTGGAATAGTATAATTGAACAGTAACACTTAATTTAATGGCCCAACTTTATAATCATTTGATATGTTAGCATATTATTATCAACGCGAGTCCAAAACGGCATAGTGCGACGACAACGCGCAAAATCGCATCCCGCGAGATTCTGCTTGCTGTCAGTAAACTCTAATTACAACTAATTACAATACGACCTCGCAATCAATAATTTCACATCAGTATGTAGCATATTGTCAAAGAATTAAAATTTATCATAGAATGGCGTTCGAGTGATACGTTTCAGACAATGTAGCGTTTGTTACTCAATCGAGTATATTTCATTGGATCCAAATCATAGGAGCGTCCAAATCATGTAACATTATTATAACTTTAGTTATACACGCCCACAGAACAGTCTTATTAGCACATGTCGTCCATTAACAAAACGTGCCGTTACACAGTTTGGACGCGACGCTACACCGTCCAAAATCACTTTCACCGCTAAAACAAATACGAAACGCATTCGGAACTCGAGTCACGTCTTCAGTCCCGGCGACGCACTAGCAAGTCCGCACTAGTCGTAGTCGATGTCCATGTTGTAGCGCTCGCGCTCCGACGCCGAGGACGAGGCCGAGTGCGGCCACGCGGCCACCGACGACGACGACGAGCCCGACGACGCCGAGCCCGAGCCCGAGCCCGAGCCCGAGCTCGCGTCCCGCCCGCGAAGACCCACCCGCCGGACTACAATTTGCGAGAATGATGCTGCGGGAAGAAAATAAGAGTTAAACTCAGAACGAGCTTAGGGCTTGGTTTCCACTAAGGCGGAGAGGAACAGAAGTGTTTTGAATAATCAATCAGATTTCATTTCACGCCCCTTTGGTGGAAACCGGGCCTGATGGTTAAAGTCGAGTAATTTTTTTAATAACGCAACGTGTAGCGGTCAGTCGGATTCCTTACTAGTGCAACTTGTACTGTAAATTAAGGTGTGATGTTAAATCGGATTCTGAATACTCGATAGCACACCAGTCTACATTTTATTGCAACATCACCCCTATTACAACATTATAAGGTACGCGCGCGCGCTTCCTAATAGCAATACGTGTATCAAGTATAGATTTATGACTATAGTCTGGTCCGTGAGCACGTAGAATTTTGTCCGATGACTCCAAGCTACCCATCCTTATCGCTCGCGCGTAATTATGTTGCTGTCGCGCTCGCACACTCACTGCGGGCGCCCGTCGCACAGTCGCGACAGCAACATAATTACGCGCGAGCGATAAGGATGGGTAGCTTGGGGTCATTGGACAAAATTCTACGTGCTCACGGACCGGGCTTTAGTATTATGTGTAAGGTCGCATTTTACCTAGAGTTATGTATAAAGTCCTGCTCGGCGACCAGATATAATTTCGTCCAATGACCCCAAGCAAGCTACCTATTCTTATCGCTCGCGCGTAATTATATTATTAACGGGCGGCGAGTGAGTGTGCCAGCGCTATAATTATGCGCGAGCGATAAGGATGGGTAGCTTGGGGTCATTGGACGAAATTCTATGTGCTCGGCGACCGGACTTTAGTGTAACATGGAATCATGACTAGTGTAACGTGTAAGTTCGTATTCTGACCAGTGTAACGTATAGTCAAATAACTTGAAGTACTCACGTCCCGAGGCCTCGGAGGTGGGCGGCGCCTGGGCGGGGGGCGGGGCCTGCGCGGGGGGCGGGGCCTGCGGCGGCAGCAGCGAGCGGCGGCAGATGGGACACGTGGCGTGCAGCTGCAGCCACGGCGTGATGCACGACGAGTGGAATATGTGGTCGCACTCTAGCCGGGACACTGTCTCACCTGGAGCGAGAGAGATTGGTTTTAACAACGATGTGTAATGCAGATCAATCGTCGACACACTTACTTACATAGTTTAAAATCGACGACGACGACACCAGTTAGGTGTCCCACCTAACATTGGCGAATAAGGTTCTATAACTCGGTAGTGGCTAGGCCAGTGGCGCCAACTGGTAATTTGATAGGAACGCTTGTTGGCAGAAGTTCTATCAAGGGGAAATGATGGAGCGCTATTGTCTGATAAAGTCATAGTCATGATTACTCATCAGTGACGGCAACTAATGAGCACATACGGTAGCTGACGCCTGACATCGTTAGTGTTTCACTGAGCTGGAAGTTCTTTCTAGGAAGACTGGTTGGTGTTATTGTCGTATAAGGTAATGGTTATGGTCACTCGGCAATGGCGCCAACTAGTGACCGCCTATAGAGTCCTGTCACTGCACGATCCTTACCGAGCTAGAAGATCTGTTTAGGGGGCGGGTTGTCTTATAAGGTCATGGTTATGGTCACTCGTTATTGATACCAACTAGTGACCGCAACTGTCCTGACTGTTACTGCACGGTCCCTACCGAGCTGGAAGTTCTGTCTATGGGGACGTATAAGGTCATGGTCACTTGTCAATGGCGCCAACTAACGACCGCCTATACTGTCCTGTTACTGTACGATCCCTACCCAGCTGGAAGTTCTCCCAGCAGACGGAGCAGGCGGCGCTGGCGTCGGCTTGGTCCTACGTGATGCCCCGCTGGGCGCGCGGGCCCGAGCTGTCCCGCTGGCCCAGTAGCTGTGTCACTGCTGCTGCTGTATGCTCACCCAGCTGGAAGTTTTGTCTAGGGGGGTTGTCGTATAATGTCATGGTTATGGCCACTCGTTAGTGTAGCCAACTAGTGACCACATGTAACCTGTCCAGTATTTCATGATCCCTACCTAGCTGGAAGTTCTCCCAGCAGACGGAGCAGGCGGCGCTGGCGTCGGCCTGCTCCTGCGTGATGCCCCGCTGAGCGCGCGGGCCCGAGCTGTCCAGCTGGCCCAGTAGCCGTGTCCCACTGCTGCTGCTGTATGCTCACCCAGCTGGAAGTTCTCCCAGCAGACGGAGCAGGCGGCGCTGGCGGACCCGAGTTGTCCAGCTGGCCCAGTAACTGGGTCACTGCTGCTGCTGTATGATCCCTACCCAGCTGGAAGTTCTCCCAGCAGACGGAGCTAACCCAGTAGCTGTGTCATACTGCATCTGAACCTGCTGCTGATGATGCTGTATGATACTGATACTGTATGGTGCTCGTTTCAGCCAAATGACGTCCACCGCTGGACATAGGTCTTCCCCAAGGTTTTCCACAATGAACGTTCCTGCGCTGCCCGCATCCAGTTTCTTCCCGCGACCTTTACCAGATCGTCGGTCCACGTAGTAAGAGGCCTGCCCACGCTACGTCTTCCAGCCCGTGGTCGCCACTCGAGAACTTTTCTGCACCAACGGCCATCGTCTCTGCGAGCAGTGCCACTTGATTTTAGCAATTCTGCGAGCTATGCCGGTCACTTTCTCCTGCGGATCTCCTCGTAGCTGATTCGATCACGCAGAGAATTGATTGTGTGATGCTCACCGAGCTGGAAGTTCTCCCAGCAGACGGAGCAGGCGGCGCTGGCGTCGGCCTGCTCCTGCGTGATGCACTCGCTGGGCAACGCGGCGATACGCTCGCGCGGCAGCGGCGGCGGGCCCGAGTTCTCCAGTTGGCCGAGCAATTGTGTCACTACTGCGTCTAAGCCTGAAAAAATTTGAAGGGGTGGTCAGTGGAAAATTAATTGAATACACGGTAGCTTTTTAAACCGAAGTGAGCCTTCAAGCAGGGTTCATATTCGTTTTTGGTAAAGTTAGTTAATAAATTATTCATTCCAGCTTAAAAAGCTAGCCGTAATTAGTTTCAGGATGTCAATAAGTGACCAGAGAAAGGCACTGGCATTTTTCGAGTGTTATGGTACTAGCTCATTATCGCGACTGCTGAACGCCGGAGCATCGCGAATTGCCAGAGAATAGAACGACGACAAGCGAGTCGACGAAATTCGAAAGACGGTAGAGTGTGTGGAGGCCTAACACGAACGTCTTAATAGAATTTAAACTAATTGTTTCATTAACAACTGCCTGTACCTTCGCCTCCAAACACGTAGTCCCCGGGCGCCCCGACCAGTACAAATGGCGCCCCTGCCGTGACGGCGCCGGTGCCTTGCCTTCCGCCGCCGATCATCCACACGAGTTGGTCCATAAACGTCTCCCGCCGGCCGGTGGTAGATGCCCCTCTGGAATTGTACGAAATTATATGTTCAAAAACTCGAGGGAATATCACGCAAAACTCTCGGCAGAGGGCGCTACTAGAAACAGTAAAAAGCCTTTGCCAAACATTGCTTTTCAGCCAGTCTACGGTAGCCAATCGAACACAATATGACGGTGTATGGGAGCCCGCACACTAGGCAGCCAAGAGTGTTCATATACCGGATTGGTTGCCACAGCCAGGCTGTGGCACTTATACATTCATCTCTCTTTTTTAATGCTAGCCTACAGTTCTACTATCCGATTTCTCAATCGCTAGATAACTTTTATCTGAAGTGTAAAAAATATGTTAATAGTTCTTTAGATAACGCAATATATCGATTTTAGGCCTTTGGAATAGTTCAGAGAGTAGAACATCTTTTTTTTAACTTTTCAGGCCAAATTAAAAATACGTCAGCAACGAATTATTTGATTCCATGACTTCATAAGCACATTGGTCAATTACATTACTAATGTAGGTCAGTAATAATCATCTTACCGCAACCGGCCGCCGGACATCAGAAACGCCAAGTCGTTTAGCATTGGTGGCGCGCTCTGAAATTTTAAACAGATTACTTTAGTACAAAATATTAGTATTAATGCTTATGGGAGTTCTACCAGACCAGTCTAAACCGCACAATAAAGCACGTAGCGCATATATGTCACGTACCGCAAGCGTAAACTTGAGAAGTATGGTCTAAAATTGCACACATAACTCTTTTACTTTGATTGACCTGATAAATTCAGGAATTCATCTCGAAGATTTTTTTTGCATGTTTCTGTAGGCAGGCATACTTCTTTTCACTCTGATTTTTTTTGCATGTTTCTGTAGGCAGGCATACTTCTTTTCACTCTAATAAAGACTAAATTAAATATAAATTCCTATTTATTTATTAAAATACGCCATTGATGTGACATAGATTGTACACCTGTAAATAGTTAGTCAAAATTTTCCCACTGTAATAATCATAGGTATTTATAAACAATGTCATGTGCTTGCGCGCGTGTTCTTGCGATAACAGCCAACTCACGAGAGGTGTTCTGGCGATAACACGTCGACATGACTAGGGACGTCACCTATTGATATGGTGAAATGTATGTTGCACATCACTATAAACAAACAATGCAATTTTATGCCCATTTATAAACGAAATATGATTCTAGGGACGTCACCTATTGATATGGTGAAATGTATGTTGCACATCACTATAAACAAACAATGCAATTTTATGCCTATTTATAAACAAAATATGATCCTAGAGACGTCACCTCATATCATTGTTGTTATCAATTACCACTTTTAAAACCTTGCCATGTTGTTTACAAACCACATAATAGTGGTAGACCATACCTAGCTACAGATAACACGTTGATAATGATGTGTAAACTGACTCCGAGCCAATTTCAGAGTGAGATATGCAAAAGATAACCACGTAAGAAACTTGTGCATTCTAGAACGAAGCCGTGACGTCATTAGCATTGGCGATGTTGATTAGTATCAATTAATTGCTTTATTTGGCATAAAACATCTGTTCTTTAGACACTGATTTAATAGAGGAAATTGTTGAGTTAATCAATTCTGTGGTATTATTTTTTAATTTAATTGCAATCATAACGGTAAATATGTAAATTGTTGATAAAATGCCATTGATGTGTATGAGTCATACTTTGAAATTTAATACTGCTATTGTGCAATATAAACTACATAGTAACATAGTCCCAAGGTCATGGAAACAAGTGCTTACAATTACCATTATTATTAATCCATTAAATATTTAAATGTTATTAAATTGCAGTTGGCTGAAAAGAATCCCTCCAGTACTATGATAAAAAAAATGTAAGCTGATATTATGTTCAGGAAAGTATGTGTAATGTAGCTCTTATATAAAGCCTGTATAGTTGAAAGATATCAAGCTGAAGGTATAGAAAGATAGCTATAGTAGAGAACAGTGCAATCATATATGAGTTCAGATGTACAGGATTGACTGATAAAGAGTGGAGAATGCCATTATATTTCTGAGTTCAGATGTACAGGTAACAGGATTGACTGATAAAGATTAATCTATCAAGTGATAAACTAATAAACACTTCTCAGAAACTAACACAACCTTACATTTCACTCCATTTAGTTTAGTTCTGTTATTGAACCCCATTTCATAAACTTAAGTGGAAAAATTTAATATTATGGAGAGATTTGAATCTTATTCTTGAATGAACATTCATTATGTATGAGCAAATTATATCAGAAATTCAAAGATAATATTCTTAACAGATTTTGCAGCATGATTTTAAACTGAATCTTATCTTGACTATATTTTGGTTGTTCAACAAACAGCAGACTCAATCCCCCTTATTACAAAAAGTTACTCTGGTTGAACTCTAGAACTTTTAGAATGGAAATGTCCTTTTAAGCCAGTGTTGGTCCCTGGTTTAACTTTTTTCTAATAAGGGGGTAATGAGTTTGAGTCTAATTTGAATTAAGACCTATTAAACTAGGACTTCTTGTTACTATCTTATTAGAAGTACCTAAATAGATGTGTAATCCTAATAAAATTTAACCAATTTAAGAATACCAGGGGTAATTATTAAATACAGGTTATTGTTCATACTTGGTGCATATCATCGGAATCGTCTAGGTTGCTCATGTCGTCCAGATTGCTCATGTCATCGATGTTGCTCATGTCTGCATCGCTAAAATCATCTCCGGGGAGCCGTACAACATCTTCTGATTCGTTCACTAGGAGCTCTATGAATCCACTGGCGCAGTATGGGCATGTGTAATCCTGAAACCACATAAAGTTACTATCAGTTTTTTATTTTCTAATTAGTTTCTTATTTGACTGTATTTCAGTTTCACCACAAAAAAGATATGATGACCAAGAAAGTAAGATTATGTTCAAATTGAAATCTAATTGGCCATAGAAACAGGACTCTTTTACCAACAAGAAACTTTGTAATTGAATGTTGGGTCAGATAGTAGGGCAGGCCTAAAAGTTAGTTGGTAGCTCATCGTCATCACCGTGGTCGCACAATGTTTACACTACAGTGGAGTTGATATTGGTGGCCAGATCATTATCACAGTTCTGCTGGCGCTGAAGCTTTCCTTTAAGCATTTGTATCTATAAATTTGTCGCTTCCAACATCCACATTTCACAAAAAAGACCGGCAGTCCAAGAAAATTAGTCGCAATAAATTTTAATCAAAGCACCAATCATGTCGTCCAAAAAAAGTAATTTATCACCAATTAGAAAACCATTTATGGTACACAGACTCAGGCCCCACGAGCAGNGAGTAAGGTCCTGTCAATCGCCAGGGGTGCCAACTGTTAAGTATAAAAACGATAGGCCTCATTGAACGACGACAAGCGAGTCGACGACGTTCGAAAGACGGTAGTGTGGGGGAAGCCTAACACGTCTTGATAGAATTTGAAGTGATTGTTTCAGAACTGTACCTACACGTAGTCCCCAGGCGCCCCGACCAGTATAACGGGCGCCCACGCCGTGACGGCGCCGGTGCCTTACCGCCCATGTTCCTAGCTAAAGAGTAGCAACAGTCCCGTAGTCTTCATCCCTACAATACATCATGTGACTGTACCTTCGCCCCCAAATACGTAGTCCCCAGGCGCCCCGACCAGTACAAAAGGCGCTCCTGCCGTGACGGCGCCGGTGCCTTGCCGCCCATATAGAGTAGCAGCAGTCCCGTAGTCTTCATCCCTACAATACATAATGTGACTGTACCTTCGCCCCCAAACACGTAGTCCCCAGGCGCCCCGACCAGTACAAAAGGCGCCCCAGCCGTGACGGCGCCGGTGCCTTGCCTTCCGCCGCCGATCATCCACACGAGCTGGTCCATAAACGTCTCCCGCCGACCGGTGGTCGATGCCCCTCTGGAATTTAACGAAATTATATGTTCAAAAACTCGAGGGAACATCACGCAAAACTCTCGGCAGAGGGCGCTACTAGAAACAGTAAAATTCAGCTAGTCTACGGTAGCCAATCCAACATAATATGACGGTGTTTGATGGGAGCCCGCACATTAGACGGCAGCCAAGAGTGTTCATATACCGGATTGGTTGCCACAGCCAGGCTGTGGCACTTATACATTAATCTCTCTTTTTTAATGCTAGCCCACAGTTCTACTACCCGATTTCTCAATCGCTAGATAACTTTTATCTGAAGTGTAAAAACTATGTTAATAGTTCTTTAGATAACGCAATCTATCGATTTTAGGCCTTTGGAATAGTTCAGAGCAGACAGAAGAACATCTTTTTTTTTTAACTTTTCAGGCCAAATTAAAAATATGTCAGCAACTAATTATTTGACTCCATGACTTCATAAGCACATTGGTTAATTACATTTATAATGTAGGTCAATAATAATCGTCTTACCGCAACCGGCCGCCGGACATCAGAAACGCCAAGTCGTTTAGCATTGGTGGCGCGCTCTGAAATTTTAAACACATTACTTTTATTTTATTTTTATTTTATTTATTTATTTATTACATATTTCAGTACAAAATATAACAGAGTAGGTATTAATGCTTATGGGAGTTCTACCAGACTAGTGAAATCCGCACAATAAAGCACGTAGCGCACGTAATGCACGTACCGCAAACGCAAACTTGAACAGTATGGTCTAAAATTGCACACATAACTCTTTTACTTTGTACCTGTAGACCTAAGATGCGCGCCGTGATAACTTTTATCGATGTCAAAATGTATGGACAAAATCGATAAAATGACGTGACAACGGCTTATCGCGGCGCGCATCCTAGGCCTACTGATAAATTCAGAAATGCATCTCGAAGATGTTTTTTGTATGCTTCTACATATCGGCATACTACTTTTCACTCTAATAAAGGCTAAATTCAATATAAATTCTTATTTATTTATTATACGGCATTGAGGTGACATAGATGTTACACCTGTAAACAAACAGTCAAAATGTTCCCACTGTAATAATCATAAGGTATTTATAAACAATGTCATGTGCTTGCGCGCGCGTTGTTCCGATAACAGCCAACTCACGCGAGGTGTTCTGGCGATAACACGTCGACATGACTAGGGACGTCACCTATTAATATGGTGAAATGTATGTTGCACATCACTATAAACAAACAATGCAATTTTATGCCCATTTATAAACAAAATATGATCCTAGGGACGTCACCTATTGATGTTGTGAGTGTATGTTGCACATTACCATTAACAAATGCAATTTGATATGCTCATTTATTAACAACATCACAATGTATTATAAAGTAAGTCAATCTACTATAAAAGGCGATTTTTTCAATGCATTTTGACCTTTGAAACTTGGATACAAAGTTCATAATCATTTGAGAAAATTCGACGTGATAAAATGTGCTTGACTGTAATATGTATGTTATGTTCAATGCCTTTAAATAAATATGACATCAGTGAAATTGAATTTTACATCAGTTACATTATTATGGAATCATATCAACTCAACACTTTTTATTGATGACTCATGAAACTAATAATGTCCAAAGGCTAACCTAGTTTGTTTGGCATGCTAAATTATTTATTAGTTTGATTACTTTCTAATCTATAGAAAAATAGCATCATAGGTTTTCTTCTTTTATGCATAACAAATAGGTATTTGACTGCAATCGCACCTACTGATAAGTATAAGTGAGATACAGTCTAGGTATTATAAAAAAATTAAATGCATACATTTTTTTCAGTAGTGTAAACTTGGCAAAATATCATTGTTGTTATCAATTACCACTTTTAAAGCCTTGCCATGTTGTTTACAAACCACATAATGGTAGACCATACCTAGCTACAGATAACACATTGATAATGATGTGTAAACTGACTCCGAGCCAATTTCAGAGTGAGATATGCAAAAGATAACCACATAAGAAACTTTTGCATTCTAGAACGAAGCCGTGACGTCATTAGCATTGGCGATGTTGATTAGTATCAATTAATTGCTTTATTTGGCATAAAACATCTGTTCTTTAGACACTGATTTAATAGAGGAAATTGTTGAGTTAATCAATTCTGTAGTATTATTTTTTAATTTAATTAATTTAAAACATAAAGTTATGTAAATGGTTGATAAAATGCCAATAAAGTGTATGAGTCATACTTTGAAATTTAATACTGACATTGTGCAATATTAACTATAATAACATAGTAACATAGTTCCAAGGTCATGGAAACAAGTGCTAAACTTCACCATTATTATTAATCCATTAAATATTTAAATGTTATCAAATTGCAGTTGGCTGAAAAAGAATACCTCCAGTAATGATAAAAATATAAGCTGATATGATGTTCAGGAAAGTATGTGTAATGTAGCTCTTATAAAAAGTCTGTAGTTGAAAGATATCAAGCTGAAGGTATAGATAGATAGCTATAGTAGAGAACAGTGCAATCATATTTCTGAGTTCAGATGTACAGGATTGACTGATAAAGATTAATCTTTCAAGTGATAAACTAATAAACACTTCTCAGAAACTAACACAACCTTACATTTTACTCCATTTAGTTTAGTTCTGTTATTGAACCCCATTTCATAAACTTAAGTGGAAAATTTTAATATTATGGAGAGATTTGAATCTTAATCTTGAATGAACATTCATTATGTATGAGCAAATTATATCAGAAATTCAAAGACAATATTCTTAACAGATTTTGCAGCATGATTTTAAACTGAATCTTATCTTAACTACCTATATTTTGGTTGTTTAACAGACAGCAGCTCAATCCCCCTTATTACAAAAAGTTGCTCTGGTTGAACTCTGATTTAAATTGACATTTAGAATGGAAATGTCCTTTTAAGCCAGTGTTGGTCCCTGGTTTAACTTTTTTCTAATAAAGGGGTAATGAGTTTGAGTCTAATTTGAATTAGGACCTAAACTAGGACTTCTTATTACTACCAATCTTGTTAGAAGTACCTAATTGGATCTGTGATTCTAATAAAACTTAAATTCTTGGGTATAACATCAATTTCAGAATACCAGGGGTAATTATTAAATACAGGTTATTGTTCATACTTGGTGCATATCATCGGAATCGTCTAGGTTGCTCATGTCGTCCAGATTGCTCATGTCATCGATGTTGCTCATGTCTGCGTCGCTAAAATCATCTCCGGGGAGCCGTACAACATCTTCTGATTCGTTTACTAGGAGCTCTATGAATCCACTGGCGCAGTATGGGCATGTGTAATCCTGAAACCACATAAAGTAAGTATGACTTTGTTGTTTTCTAATTAGTTTCTTATTTGACTCAGAAATAGGATTTAATTATTTAAATAAGAAGTTTTGTATTTGACAGTTTCACCACAAAAAAGATATATGATGACCAAGAAAGTAAGATAATTATGTTCAAATTGAAATCTAATTGGCCATAGAAACAGATCTCTTTTACCAACAAGAAACTTTGTAATTAAATGTAGGGTCAGGTGGTAGGGTTAGGTATATTTCAGGCCTAAAAAGTAAGTTGGTAGCTTATCGTCATCATCGTGGTCGCACAATGTTTAAACTAGTAGTTGATATTGGTGGCCAGGTCATTATCACAGTTCTGCTGGCGCTGAAGCTTTCCTTTAAGCATTTGTATCTATAAATTTGTCGCTTCCAATATCCACATTTGACAAAAAAGACCGGCAGTCCAAGAAAATTAGTCGCAATAAATTTTAATCAAAGCACCAATCATGTCGTCCAAAAAAAGTAATTTATTACCAATTAGAAAACCATTTAGGGTACACAGACTCAGGCTCCACGAACGGAGCATTCATAAACAATTAAAAATCGTCAAAATTGGCAGTAAATATTGATTTTTACCTGCAAAACATCTTCAAATTCAATGTTACACCTGTGGCAGAAAAATCTAGCGGTCGGCCTCCGCTCTACCATCGCATCGGCCATCCTAGGTTTTATTCACAGTTACACAACAACAAATATTTAATGTTTTAAATATGTGCCTGAAGATTGTGCTTTCAAAACCTGAACAGAAATTTAACAATCGCCATTTTTTTGAGACATGCACAATCCAACTTTTTCCAAAAAGATTTCTTGGCACAGATTACTAAAGCATGAGCAAGACCATAGACTACGAATAAATATAGCGCTGGAGTTGCAAGGTTTGGCCGTTTTGATAATAAAAAACGTGCCCTTAGCCATTGCATTATTTCTTAATTTATGAACTCCCAATGTTAAAGCTATTAAAAAAATATATTCAGTGACTGACTGACGTTTTCGTAGTTTCATTGCGGAGTTGGGGACTTGGGTCATAAATTTTGTGTAAAATTTATGTTTATTCCATCAGTATCCATAAATATTCGGGCTATTTTATAATAAATGATGTGATGTTCGATGTTTAACGTTCATATAATGGCCATAGAAACGTTATATTGGTGCTGATATCCGTGTGAAAAGTTGTAACTGTGTTGGAATGATTGTTATCATATTTAGATGTATTTTCAACAAATCATGTGGATTTTATATAATTTAATTATGTATCATAGCCTATTACACTTAATTTAGTGTTCATTAAGGCTTCTTTGTGTAAATAGAAGCGTAACAAGACTGAATTTCGTCGACCCAGTAACGCATAGTAGGCTACAATGAATGAGAAAAAAAGGCTAGTGCAGAATTTCAAGAGTTACATCAACGTATCACCTAAGGTAATTTTAACGTTGCAATTGTGAAAATACTTTAATTGGTGAAATTGGTTTGACTTATTTTTTACACTCAAGTTAGGTTAGGTAGTAAACAGACTTCTAAAAATGTTCTTTTTTCCTTCTGCTAATTAACGTTTAGTTCACGCATAAAATATTGTGTTTGTGTATGTAAATAATATTTTATTTTAATTTGCAGAATAATGGGGAAAAGAATGGATCCCTCCAAGAAGTAAAACCAAAGTTATTAAATGGTAAGTGATGCATTTTATTCAATATGCACTTGTAGATATGCTATAAATTGTATTTAAACTTAATATTTATTTGAATCAACAAAGTTTACTTATGAACTCTTAAAATATACCTACAATAAACTCTACGGCCCCCTATTAAATGCTATGGAGGAGTAGGATAGAGAAATAATTGTAATTATTTATTAGAAAATTACTTACAAAACTTACTTGATTACTTTAGTCTTGATAAAATGTTTAGTAATTTTATTTTTGCTATAAAATTTGATATGAAAAAACTTTCTAATATTAAAAGGTTTTCCTATATTATCTCTTTTGTTATATTTTTTATGACTAGTAATAAGAATAAGATTCAATTAAAACACAGTACTAGTACAAAATTACAGTTGTAATTTTTTCCTTGACTTTTGTTTCCTCAACTGCTCACATAGGGATGTTTTGCATTACGGAAATAATGGTTTAATGGATTGATTGATCAGCATGATGAACTTATTACATTTTTAATTAATGAGAGTGAAATAAAAACATGTTATTTATATCACTAACATGATTGTAATAATTATAAATTAGACAGTTTAAAAAAATATAATTGTAAGTGAATAATTATGATAACATTTACATCACTAATATTATATTTAAAACTATGGTCTCTGACAATCAAGATATCAGAATATAGGTTTTGAAGTTAGTATTCAGATAATTCTTGAATATCACAGTTTATTTACTATCTTAAAATATTAGAGACCCAAAAAGAGAAAGAAAGTTTAGACTAAATCCTGATTTCTAATTAGATAAGATAATTTATATATTTGCATTATTTTTCTTCTTACCACTCTAACAATTCTAAGTTTTAGTCATTAACAGTGTTGTTTTCATCATTGTCAAGCTAATTTTATCAACAAAGATATCATAAAGCTTATTTTGGGGGGGAAATGTACATTCTTATTATCTTTTTCTTATCATTCAAGACTAGTATTTCATAATTCTTTTATAGTATCGTTGATCCGTAGATCGATTAATTATGCACAGCGTATACGTAACTGTATCGCCATGTACGTCTGGCATTGTTTGACGCCATGGGAAGTGCGGCCCGGGACATAATTGACGAAGACGTCAGTAAGTCCGAAAATCCGCCCTACGCGGCTTAAACTTAACTACATTTGCGTGCTGATTCTTTAACAAACTTGCCGGTCTAGGATGCGTGTCTCGATATAATCTTAGTGTCGTCTTTAGCCTAGGCGCAGACTACCGATTTTTTTTTAATACTCAATAGTTTTTAGTTGGATAGTGCTAATATGGACATGCCAAATCGGTGTAATTAATGTGCCGATTTGGCAAATTAGAATCGAACCCAACTATCGGCCAACTAAAAGTAGGTGGTCTGCGCCTAGCCTTACACGACAAATGTTTCGATAAGATTATATTTTAAACCTGCAACTTACAAATTGACTCGATTCTATACACCTAAACATTTTGCGAAGGTTTCGGATGCTTGAAGTCGGACTGTCCGAGTCCGAGCCTAATTGGCTAAAATGTACCACCCGCGATTCTACCTGCCCCATCGATTCGATTTTCATTTATTAATATGTAACACCGTAGTATTACCGGCTGAGTATTTAAACTGGGACTGAATGTACCTACACTACATTCAGAATCAGGATTAGATACTATAGATTACAGTGATGCTTCTGATCCTTACGTTTTTGTAGTACTCGTAATAGTATATCGTATATTGCGCTTAAACGCCAGTGCCTTACAGTGTTGCCTGTGACATGGGTGTACTCAGGAAAGGTCAGATAATTATTTACACAGCTTTTGTACTGCACAAGTGCACAATCGATTAACACCCCACTTTCATTTGTTTTATTTGATTAAGATTACAGTTGCTATGCGCTATTACAGAATATTTATCTGAAATAAGAAAAGTTAATTTAANTAATTTAGAAAACGTGTCCATTACGGGGTTTGAACCTGAGTCTCAGCGTATGCGCTTTTACCAACTATTAATCTGTTTTCTTTGTATATTATGCACATTTTCCTGAATCCATTTAGACTCAGACATCATCTAAAGCTAAACTACATTTACAGGAAGTGCAGACTTTAGTCTCTATTTTTCTTATCAATTTTATAAACTGTAAACAAATAATGTTTCATCGTTGGCATTAAATATTTATAGAAATGAATCCAAGATAGTCGTATCGGTCGCAAGTAGGTCATTTTTATGGGCCAGTTATAATGGTTCCAGTAAGTACTTTAGTTGTATCGAGATAATAATAAAAATGACCCAAAGTATAGGCATCAGACTACATTTTAGTTGCCAAAATAGCCTGTATTACGACGAGATAAGACACTACTGAGTTTAGTTTGATGTGCTGTCGTCTGAAATGCAACACATTTCATGCTATTATCGCAGCAGGTTCGGTAGATAAATAAATAATAAATAAATAAATTGTTTATTTCTCTCTTCACAAAGTAGGAAACATGCGTACTTAAAAACAAGGTCTTATATCGACTTACTATTATTTATTATGAGTGAATCACTGTAATATTACTAGTTAACGATTTTAATTAGACAGTATCCATTTTTAACGTGATAAAACTTGTTTTTGTTTGTTCCAATACTTCCAATCACATTTTTTGACGAAACAAAATTTATAAAATTTTCCGACTAGGAAAGTGAAAATATTTTCTTTCAGTACCTACATAGTTATTTATGGTTAAAAATAGTTGTGTCAGATTATATTCTAGTAACACAACGTAGTGTAGTAATAAACTGGAAAATAATCCACACAAAAGCCTAATATTTTTGTTGCAAAATCGCATCTACAAGTCCTACAACTACATGAAATGACACAGTTGTGTTGTAGTTATTTTCAATACAAATCGCTCGAGTTTTCACTTATTACGCAAAACCAAACTGTTAGACTAGGCGCAGACCATCGATTTTTAGTTGGCCGATAGTTGGGCCCGATTTTAAATTGTATGAAGAATCGGCCAAATCGAATCGGCGTAATGTGCGCACTCCCATACTGATCAACTGCCCGACTAAACTATCGGCCGACGAAAAATTAATGGTCTGCACATAGGCTTATACGAGTGGGCCTCATAATAAAAAGTAAACAAAGCGAAGATAGTAAATGACTTATTCACGGTCAGGATAATTACGCAAGCATTGTTTTTGCATCGATAAAAACGCGGGTTGCTTCGCTGCGCGAGCGCAAGGCTGTGGCGCGATGGCGGGGCCCTTGGCGGATTCCATTTCACTTAATTAAACAACTCAAGTAAATAACGGCTTCAGTTGTTTAGGGCTTGTGTTACGAAACTACATTCAAAAATTGATTAAATTCTCCAAAACGTCGTTTTTTTTATTTGAATTTATTTCTTTAATATTTTTTCTACAGTAAATTGTCTAAAATAGGTATTTTAGACAATTACTAGGTACTTCATGCAGAAAAATTTGCTTTATCCCATACTAAAACATTTGGGACGAAAAGCGCTTCAATGGGTACTCAATACTCAATAGTTTATTGCTTCCATAATGTTTACAAAAGGTGTTATTGGTAAGGTAAGATACAATTATGGACCCTGTCGGGCACTGCATTTTAGGAGAGAGGAAGATTTTTAGATTTATTGCATTAATTATTCTATGATTATTAATTATCAAATTTATTTTTAATCTGTATCTCATAAAACTCATTTATTTTTGCAATTAGGCTTTTAAAAAGCGCTTTTACTGTACCAGAGTATTTAATAAAGGGAGGCAAATGTAGAAAACATGAACGTATTTTTGTAGAAATATACATATAGTTTGGTCAATAAAACATTGTTACTCGGTATCACCCAAAACCGCTTACACTAATCTTATCTAGTAATAAATATCATATATGTAAGTATACTATGACGAATGACTAACGGTCTGGTGAGGGTGACGCGGTAGAGCAGTACATTTTCTTGAGAGCAAGGGTGACTGGGTTTATTTCCCGGTGGAGTCATTTCGTTTTATAGCAAGCAAATTATATGTGCGGTGAGAGATCCATTGTTTTCTCTTATATCACGTTTACTACTCTGGGTAAAAGTATTCTAAACCAAGGAGTGCATTGTCTATGGCTGGGAGTTTCGATAAAACTGAATTTAGCTTGGCTTTCTGAATATCATTCCCGCCTTAC